GACAACTCCAAAGGCAGTAGAGGGGGAGGGGCGCCAGGGAACTTTCTGGTGTGATGAAATGTTCTATATATTGATGATGGCGATGGTTCCACCAATGTGTGTGTTCTTCAGGACCCATAGAACTGTTCACTGAAAAGCGTGAATTTTACTGTATGTCAATTATATCTTAATTTTAAAAAGAAATAAAATAAATGCACTAGCCACCGACTGGGCCGGGCCTGCTCTTCCCAGGGCCTGGTCATCATGGCCAGCACTTTCTGGGCCAGCAGACCTTAATTCATGTAGTCCCTAATCAACGGACAGTCTCCACTTGGGGCTGGTTCTTCTTTCCCCGGCAGAGAAAGAGGACGATGAGCCAATGGGCACACACTTTCCTGAAGGAGAGTTCCAGAAGGCCCTGCACTTTAGTTGACAGGCCGCCGTCCCTGAGAAGATGAGGGTGGCAGCATCCCTGCTTCTGAGTGGGCAGTCTCTGACGTGCAGCCAGGGGGGGAGCTCAGTCACAGGTGGGATCACAGAAGTGTCTCTGTCTCTGCTGGGGGTGTTAGGTGCCAAGGCCCACCGCCAGCTTGTAATGCCCCAGCGTGGCAGACGGTTGGGCCTGTACAGCATTTTCAATGAGGATTCTTTTCCCTTCTGCAGGTTCCTCTTTGTGTTGCTAAACTTTAAGGCCCCACGTGGCACTGATGGGGAGGGGCGGGCGGTGCCGCCTCCCCGAGGCTCCCGGTTCTGCCTGGACTGAAGCCAGTCCTCTCTCTCGCCTCTGGGCCCTGAGAAAGCAAGTAGGCACTTTGGGGTGTGCTCTCCCCTTCTCTGTGGCCTCCCTGGGAGCATAATGGAGGGGTCTCTGCACCTATATCCTGTGACAGGCCTTGTGATCAGGGAGAATAGACCCTGGACGCGGGATTCTACAGCTCCCAAGGATCTGCTCTCCCCCACATGAACATCTCCCTCCTTGATCTCTGTTGATGCCCCAAATCCCACCGTGACCCTTCCTCCAGGATTGACAGCATCCTTCCAAGTGACTGCACTTTGCCTTGAAAGAATGCTTTCCACTTTCTGCACGACCTAGAACTTGCCCTCAAGACACTCAAGATCTCAATATAACCTTATTCTTGATCCAGTTTTACATCCGCTAATTGGCTGGCACGCGAGCTAACATTTATGAGCGCCTGCTGTGTGCCGGAAGCTGTGCTAGCTCACCTCGTCTCATCTTCGTGGAAACCCTGCGAGGTGACGCTGCTGGCACCCTGTCTTACAGTCTCAGAACGGTGCCATGGTGCCCTGGTCACGTGACTACCAAGTGTCAGGCTGGGATGCAAATCCAGGGGTATCTGACCCCCACACTCCATGTTAGTCCTGCTGGACGCTGACAAGGGAAGCTGCCGGTTTCTGCCGGTGGACACATGTAAATAAGTCTAGAAGTCGCTGTTACTTTCCCAAACAATTTCACTACATGAATTGAACGTTCTTACTAAAACTCCTTGAGTGATGCACTGGCACCCAGGTTAGAATTCAACATCTTTAGCTGGCATACAGTCCTCTCTGCCCCTCCACTTTTATCTCTCCATTTCCACCTCTTCAGCCTCATCCCGGATCCCCTCCTCCTTGCTCACCATGCTCCTTGCCCTCTGCCAAGACAGTTCCTGGTGCAGGGCCTTTGCACATGCTGTTGCTTCTACCAGGACTGCTCACCCCTGCACTCTGCACTTGACTAAGCCCTGCTGCTCCTTCAGGTCTAGCGCTAAGTGTCAGCTCAGCAAAGACGCCTTCTCCAGTCCCCTAATCTAAATCCCGTCCTGTACTGTGCTGTGCTTCCCCTCAGCTCCTATTGCTGTTTCTAAGTTAGATACAATTGGGAGGTGATCATTTGTTTTATGTCTGTCACCCCCCCCGAGTGTGAGCCTCTCAAGGCAGGGGCTTGTCCCATACCTGTCACCATGCCAGCACAGAGTACCTGCTCAGTGAATATTTGCTGAACTAATCCATGAGAAGGGGTTAGGTCTGGGGGGGCAGAAAAGCCATTTGACTCATAAAATCGAATTCTGACTTCTCCAGAAACACCACCTTGGCCTTCTCCCTCAAGTCCTCATCAGCAAACATGTACCACTAGCTGAAATTTGGGCTTCTCCCTCAGACCTGGACGTCCAATAATGTGAACAGAAAGCAGAGAGCATACAGGCTGACTCACAGCCCCTGGTCCATAAAGTCTACCCCGATTTTACACGCTGGAGGATAGTTTTTATACTAAGTGATTTGTTTATGTGGTCCTGGTGTCTTTATCAAAGAAAGGCTATGGTCCTCTAGTTGTTTTGAGAGTTGCAAGTTCAGATGAGGCCTGTAAACAGGGACGCTGATCTCCACGGGACAGGAAGTGAGGGGCTGGGCCCCCACCTCACTAGTGTTCTGGGGTCCAGGATGCCCCAGTAAGGTTCTTGCCTCTGGATCTTGAAAGTGTGTTTTGGTCTTCTTGTGTTCTTAAGAAAATGCCCCTCCTCTGGAGGAAAAAATCCTAAAGCAATGAGCCCTTGAAAGTCAATTTGATGGCTACATGGGAGCAGACCCTTTTGAACAATGGAAGGCCAGGCAGTCAGGACAAGTTTGTAAGGAATCACTCTCTCCTCTGGACCCCGCAGGACAACTCAGCTACACCTGCTTTGCCTCCACTCATCTAGTTCTTCCTTCGTATGCACCCACTACGGAATTTGGTTTCTGCCAGTCTACCAAACTCCTCAAGCCACAGCGCTCAACTCGCTATCTCAGTGCACGGCAGCCGCCACCCTCACCCTGCACACACCAGAGCTGTCAGCCGCATCCCAGGATGTTGCACTCTCCAGCTGCACCTTCACAACAGGAACTGCTCAGCTTGAAACTGAGAAATTCAGCATCATCCATGTGTATACAAATATTTGAATATTTGACCAAATTTGATTTTCTTTCCACTTCTGCTTTATGAACACTTTGGGAGCACTGCATATAAAATTCAGCCAGTCTACCAGCCCAGGAAAAGGGGCCCAAGAAATTTGTGTATTAAAAAGACAGTGTTTCTAATCTCCAACAGAAATGAGAATGATTTAACACTGCGTAAGACCTTGGCATGTGGAAACAATTGTTTGAATATGAGCCACAGACTGAGACCCCTCCTGACTGCTGTGTTTGGATAGCTCAAAGAGCAGATAATGCCAAACCATACACAGAATGACACACAGCGGGGATTCTGGAGATGCCCAAGAAAGACTGTTTCTTTAACGCATGCCAACAAATAATCCTATAATGTATTTTAAGACGCATAGACACAAGTCCTGTGCATGAAGTGGTTATGGTTACAAAAGGAAAAAATAAATATTTGTGCACACAGGCATAACGTGAAGTCCTTCTACAGTGAAAACAATGTCCTCTGGAAAGATCTTTGAAAGTCAGAGATGGTGCCATCGGCAGATGGAGCCAGTGAAGGGGTGTGGAGCAGCCTTTAAATGCATCTCAGGGCATTTGCATTGTTGGTGCGCCTGGTTCAATGATGCAAAATGAGGGGTGGGGGAGGGGAGGTGAACAGACACAACCCAAGAACACTCTGTTATTTGTTTATTTTCTACATGTGATGTCATAAGCAAGGGTTTTGCCCGTGTCCTAGTTTATCTGCAATAAATAAATAACTATGTACAAATGTGCTGAGTTTACAAAATAGTAGAAGAAAACCTTTGCATCACAAAAGATACATTATATGATACATTTTTTTCCACACACTAAAGCATGATTTCATCCCTAGCTTAGTTGAACCAAAGAACTTCTCTACCCTGTGCAGCAATGTCTAAAGTTGTGTACCTAGTCTTTCTACCAGAAAGCAAAGCTATAACGTGAAAATTCCTCAGTTTCTTGAGAATAAAGGACCTGGTTTGGCCTACTACTTATTACTGATCCATATTTAATGTGTTCCAGAAAGTTGGAAGCTATCTGGCACAGTTCTTCTCAGGCTGTACTGGGCAGACACCGCCTGCAGACCTTGTTACAATCCAGATTCTCATGCAGCAGGTGGGTGGAGCTGGAGCTCCTGCATTTCTAACCAGCCGCCCCAGCGGGGGGGGGCAGCCTCTGCTTCTTGCCCGGCGCCCCTGCTCCAAGTGGACGGGGTTAGAAGGCCTCTCTGAAGTGGGAGATATTCTCCAGGGCCTGATCAAGGTGGGGCCCTAACTGAGCATCCTTCAGGCTCCATCCTCAAGCTCCCAAATCCCACAAAGGAGTAGAGCTGGGCTACAAATCACAACAACAATAAGAGTCAAAATGGGAATTGGCCTGGATCATGCAGCTCAAAACTGTCTTCAACCGTCTCCTGGGACGTGCTTCTGTCTTCTCTAAATCTAGAGCAATCGAGTGAACGTCTTCAACATTGTCCAAAATAACTAATAATAATAATAATATAAAAAGAAACTGCATAAGAAGCTTAACAATAGTTACTACTTTTCAGTCCAAATCAAAACAACAACAATATAACCCAGCCTCACTGTCTAAAAAATAAAATACTCCTTGGGGTTGAAATTCTATGACAGTTCAGCAACATTAGTTTAACGAATGCCCCTCACATCTTAACCTCTGTTAAAATGATATTGCTCTGGAAGCCTGCAATTTCAAGAAAAATTAGCAAATCTGGTGCAAAAGCAAATCCCCAACCACTCTGGTCTTGAGAGGTTTTGTTTCTGTTTCACATGGGAGTCCGCCTAGGCAGACACTAAGAGCAGAGGGGTCTGACACAGGGCGGTGACTCAGGTGGGTTGGCTGAGTTCCTGAGGAGGGAAAATTGGGAGGAATGAGGGGGGAATACAGGGCTGGGCTTCATAAATGCAAGAGGACTGGGAAAAAAATTCACCAAGATAGTATAACTGCCACACGACAAGTGGGAGTATATAAATATAGAGATAGGGAAGGAGAAGGGGGTGGGAGGAGTGGGGAGGGATACACACAAGTAGGGAAAAAGCAAAAGAACAAGATTCTAAATACTCAAAAAATAAATATCTTGGTCATTATTGATGACTTCATTACACTCACTAGTCCACGAGATCACAGTCTGCCCCAAAGGCTGCCAACCATAACGCTCACCCCTCCTTGGTGAGGGCACGGGACACTTTGGAGTCTGTGTCTTCATCATAAAACGACCATCTCGCCCAGTTGTCCGATGACGTCATGGAAATGGCTGGGGCGCATAGTCCTTCCAATTCCCCCTCCCCAGCCATGCGTGGAATCAGAGAAGAAGGTGGGGAGGGTCTTCTTCAGTTCTGATGCCAGCTAAGGTGCTTTGGGGTAGCCAGGGAGTAAGGCTGGGGGCGGGGGGCGGGCACAGAAGGGTGGCAAAGGCCAAGCCCACACCTGGGGCCGGGGAGGGAGGCCCCTCAGAGTTTCTGAGGCGTCCGCTCCGTTCCCACGTGCTGCAGCACCACCTCCTTGGCTGGGGCCCCACACTTGTACTCCAGCTCGGCCCGCAGGGCCCCTTGCTTCTTGCGCAGGTGGCAGAGGAGCGCCAAAAGCGCCACCACCAGAGACAGACTCGCGATGGAGATGCCAATAAGCACGACCGAATGCATGGGTCTTACAGGCGAGGGGCTCGAGGTGGCGCCGGGGGTCGGGCTGACTGGGAGCTCCCCAGAGCCGCCGTCTTCGTCGCCGCCGTTGGTCACCTTGGGGTCACAGTCAGTGGCAGCCTGGCCGGCGAGGGGCGAGTCGGGCCCGCAGATGCACTGGTAGCTGCCAGGGAGGTTGAGGCACGCGTCGGGGCAGTAGCCATTGTTGCATTCGTCGATGTCTGTGCACATGAAGCCCTCGTCCAGGATGTAGCCCTCCGGGCACTGGCATGTAGTTGGGTTGTTGGGGTCGCAGTCAGCTGGGCATGCAGTCTGGTTGCAGAACATCTGGCACCTGTGCGGGTCGTTGGGGGTGGGCGCGAAGCCCTCGGCGCAGACGCAGCGGTAGCCATTTTGACCCACGGGCTGGCACTGGTACTCGCACTGAGTCCCGAAGCATGGGTCCACGGGCTCCACGCACTCGCCGTCCACCAGGTCGTAGCCGGGGTAGCAGTGGCACTGGAAGCCGCCCTGAGTGTTGACACAGCGCTGCGGGCACGGACTGGGCACCAGCGTACAGTCGTCCACGTCCTCGCAATGGTGCTGGTCGGCAGCCAGCTGGTAGCCCGTCTCGCACATGCACGAGTAGGCGCCGGGCACGTCCGGGGTGCGGTAGCAGAAGTGTTCGCAGAGTTGGTCGCACGAGTGCTCCCCAGGCGCGGCGCAGGAGCGCCCGTCGGCCTGCAGGGCGGCGTCGGCCGGGCAGAGGCAGCGCGACGCCCCGGCGCTCCCGTTGCACTTGTGCTGGCAGCCGCCCTGTTCCACGCTGCAGTCCCAGGCGCCGGGCGCCTCCTGGCTCCAGCGCGCCTCGGCCTCTCCGGGCGGCGCCGCGCACTCCAGCTCCACTCCGAAGGGCCCTACAGCGGCGGAGCTACCCACCGGCAGCGCCTGGAAGTCCGCGCCGCGGGCCCCGAACGGGGTGCTGTAGGTGATCGAGACACTGGCGGCCGCCGCGGACTCCACAGCCAGGGGCCTGCAGGAGGCTGCGAAGTGAAACTCGCAGAGGAAGCCATCGGCCTCCGCGGAGCACTGCTGCTCCTCCCAGGCCGGCTCGCCGGGTGCAGCGGCCCCGGCCGCCGAGACTGTGACGCACAGCGGACCGCAGAGAGGCGCCCCGTCGCGGTGGAGCCGCGCCCACCTGCTGTAGCTGGTGCGGTTATCGCCCGTAACCCACTGGAAGCCGCGCAAGGGGCCGAAGTGCCCCGGGTCCCTGCAGCCGGGCGGGAGCTGCAGGCCGATCCAGAAGCGCTGGCTGTCGCCGCCGTCGCCACTCAGTAGCAGAGAGATGACATCAGCCGCCACCGAGGAGCGCACGGTCATCAGGTGGCCCCGCAGGCGCTCGCAGGCCTGGCTGGCGGCGAGGAAGGGCACGGGACCCCGGAAGAGCGCGAAGCAGTCGTGCTCGACGCACTGGCTGCCGTGGGGCTGCGGTTCCGTGGGCGCCGGGAGCCCCAGGCCAGCGGGGGCCAGCACGCCGAGAAGCAGGACCCGGAGCATGCTGTCCAGGCGCGCCGCGTGCAGGCCCCGGGGAGAGCGCAGGCGCCGCGACGAGGCCGGAGCCCGGCCGGGGCCGAGAGGTGCAGGGCGCCGCCGGCGACAACCCCTCCTGTCTGTCCCAGCACGGACGCGTCCGGACGCGGCGCGCAACCCCGGCAAGGCAGCCTCTGACATGCCAGCGGGCCGGGGCCCGAGTTTATAAGTGCGCGGCCCTCCCTCCCTGGACGTTCGGGAAAAGGAAGGAAGTGCCTAGTGGGAAGGGCTGATGCTGCATTCTCGGATTACTGGGTTCTCCGGACGCCTTGCGCCCGCCCTCGCGCCTGGGATCACCTCGGGGGGATGAGTAAACCCAGCCCGGGCCCTGGTACGTCCCCGGGCGGGGCCGCCAGGCGCAAGCGCGGCGGGAAGACAGCACCTCTGTCGGCAAGGCGACAGTCCCCGCCCCGCCACTCGGGCCCCCACGCGCGCAGCCTGAAGAGAGGCTTAATCCGCAGCCCTTCCTAATTTCCCTGTCCTCTTGCTTTTTCTTCATCAATGTGTTGTTACCACCGATTTCAAGGAAGCCTGGATTGCAGAAGACTAGGAAGAGACCAGGGCGAGGAGGGCTTTGAAGAGGGGCGGGGGAGGTAGTGCCCAGGACCCGCAGGGGTCGGGGAGGAGGTGCCCGCCAGGAAGAGGACTTTGGAAGGGGCTGCCTCGGGCGAGGACTTCCCCAAAGACGCTATCTCAAGGGGAGAGAGCTGGACCCCATCCAGGCCAGTGGGGGTGCCCTCGGCCCCAGAAGACAGAGGGTGTGGCTGGGGCGACGACGGGCGAAGGGGTTGGACTGGCTTGATATGGAACCCCCCCGGGCCCCCCGGCACAGCTAGGGACCCACAAGTCCCTGAACGCCAGCTCCCAAAGCCCGACCTCATCTGGTCGCGTGGGAAAGTCGTGGGGATACTGTCAGAGCTCCAAGGTCTTGTCACCCTTCAGAGGCAGTAGCAGCCTCGCCTGTAGGGGCGGGCGTGCTGGGGTGCGTGTTAGCCTGTTTGGTCTGTTTTCCTTCAGCTTCACAGAGACGCAATCCTTCTGGCACCCCCAACGGGGCGCGCGGGGAGGCGCTGCGGACGCCAAGTGGATGCCACTCGGATCTGTTAAGGATTTTTCTATTTGGCTGAGAAATCGGATTAATACAGAGGTGCACATAAATGCCACTTGGGCGGCAAAGGCTACTGAAGAGGGGCGGTCCTGTGGACGGGCAGGGTGGGGAGAACTGGGAGGAGGAGGTGGGAATCTGTCACTTTTCGACCTTATCCGCTTATTCATTTACCAAGAATGCGAGGGGTGGGTCCAAAGCATAACCGAGAGTGGCAAACTTTTTTTTTCTTTTTTGACATCCTATGCCGTTTCTCCGCTATGGTCACTCACAACGAAGCACCAGGAGGCGGCGCTGTTGAACTCTAAACAAAGCCAAAGAAGTCCGAGATCTCCAGACTAGGGCGGAAAAGGGTTAAGAGCGTGGGGAACGCAGAGGCCTCGTCCTGGGGCAGGAAACTCGGCTCCCGGGAAGCCCTGCGCAGATCCCGCGGCTCACCGGGGTGTCCTGCCTCCCTGGTCCAGGAGAGCCCAGATTTTGTAAGAGAACAGGTGAGTGTGGCGTCCTCACAAGCGAAAGACAAGCACCTGTCGGCGGGACTGTACTGACTGACAGTGACCAAACAGTTGGGGCCTAGACACTGGGAAAGTGAAGCGGGGGATGTGCAATGGTTCCTCCCTACGCTCCCTGACGCCCGGCGGAGAGCCGGGCCCGCTGAGCGCTGCTCTGTCCTGAGAACGCTGTCCCAGCTCGTGGCACGGAAGCAGCAGGAACGCGGGGTGGAGACTGAGGTCCAAAGCTCCCAGGAATAGACGCGACTGCCCCTCTGGGCAAAGGAAGGAACGACCAGCAGATTGGAGAGTCCGGCTGTCCCGCGTGCGAGCAGGGCAGGCGCTGGCCTAACGTCCCCCTGGCTGCCTGGCCTGAGTCAAGGATCATGACTTCTGTGCACAGCCCGCCCACGCAGGGCTGGAGCTCAGGGCAGGGCTGCCTCTGGTGGCGCCAGCCCTGGGGGCAGAGTGTCCAGATATGGGCTGGAACACTGCTGAAAGAGCTCAGAAAGTGGGAGAAATTGCCTGGGTGCATGAGACAGGTGAGGCAACAGGACCAGCTACACAATCCTCACCACCCCTTGTTCAAAACTTTCCGAGAATTTCAAGACTGACAGTAAAGCATTAAACAAAGGGGGGGCCCTCCTGACCCTGCCAGCCCTAAAAGAGGTTGAGGGACACCCAAGTGTCAAGTCTGGCCCCACACCAGGCTGAGTCACTTCTTGGGTGGGTTTTGGTGGGACGTCCTATTCAGGTCACCTTGAGCCCAGTTACTGATTCTTGAAAAGAAAAAGACAGGAAGTTGGAGGCTGCCCCAGTAGCTGCGTCCAGGTGAGAACCAGATGGTGCCGGTGAGACTTGGGCCAACCTGTCTGAGGAGGTGCCGGCTGTTTCCATGTAGAAAGACACTAGAGCAACAACTAAAGGGAGCAGAGCACTGACTGGGGTGGGACCAGCAGTCTCGGGTTACCCCGCAGAAGGGTGGATGGACATTTTCCATCCTGCAGGCCTTGCCCCTGGCCCTCAGCACACTTTACCTCTGCCTTCTAGGGCCTGCCCTCTGCCACCTTTCTCCTCTCCAGCCATCACTTTGAGGCTTTTTTGCACATTTTAAGCTACCCTCGTCTTCCTCTGCACCTCCTGCACAGGGGGATAGGCCCCTCCCTCTGTCTCTATGTGGATGAACCCCCCCACTTCCCTCTTCTCCCCACCCCTGCCCTGCCATCCACCAGAGGCTCACCAGCCACCCTGTTTTACTGGAACAGCCCCCTTGAAGAGTACCCATCATCTCCTAAATACTGTGGCCAATAACTTGTTTTCAGTCTTCATGCTTCTAGATGTCTCTGTGCTGTTTGCACTCTTGAGCCCTCACTGTTCTCAAGCCTCTTCCTCCCAGGACTTCCCAGACACCTGTGCCCCTGCCCCTCCTTCTCTACCTGCCTGAGGGCGGCCCCTCTGACCCTCCTGCCCTGCAAGCCTGGCGAGTCCTCAGGTTCTGTCTGCCGTCTTCTCTCTTCTCTCCACCCCTATCTCTTAACATCCCACCCTTTGCCAGACTCACCCATTGCCCTTGCAATGATATCCATGTCAAAGGAGACTGGTGGAGGGAGGTCCCCAGAAGGGACCCTCAACCCATTCTTTCCCCATATCAATATTTACACCCCTCAGACTTACGCTGTCATCACTTCTGCCTCAGACTTCGTCTGTTTCCCTGCCTCATCCTTCTGATCGTCATTGCTCCTGCTCCGTCAGCTCTTTTCCTTGGTCTTCTCTCTCTCACTCTTCGCCCCTGCTGACACCTCCTGCATCCTTGCACCCCTTCAGGGCACCCACCACCTGCCGAGGGAAGCACGTGCTCCTTTCCCCTCCCTCCCCACTCGGCCCAGCCACACTGAAGATGATTGCTCATTGTGCCTCTACTCTGTGGCCACAAAATAGGAAATTTGCACTCAAGGGTCTCCACTGGGGTTCAGACCCAGAACCCTCCCCCTTCAAAGGCTGTTGTCCCACTGGTCGCCACGGATGCTGACAGTACCAGCAAGAGGGGTTCCTGCTGCCTGTGAGAGGAATGCCTCATCCAGTCTCACCTTCATTCCATGGCTCATGTTTTTTCTTCTGCCAGGAACATTCTAGTCTTTACCTCTTCTTCATCTATTTGAAATCTGACCCTTCTTTTAAGGCACAGGTGACACGCTGCCTCATCAGCAAGTTACAAACCAGAGCTGATCCCTGTGAAGTTCGTAGGCCTTTCTATCAGCACTTTAGCGCTAACTGCGCCTTCCCAGCCTTGTAAGTAATCACGTCCACGTCGTGCTCTTTGCTACTCTTACAATCTAGTTTCCTGGGGTGAGCATGTTCTTATACATCTGTGCACCCCAGACGCCTGCCAGCAGTTTTCGTGCATAGACTGCTCAGGAGTCGCTTGAGCACCTGCTGTAGACGTTTCTTTGTGCCCCCTCCTGTGTGACTTTCTCATGTCAACCTGCAAAGACAAGGATGGGGACCTCAGGGCCTCAGGGTTGGGGATGTGGGCTTTGGAGCCAACTGGGCTGGACTGAGCCCCAGCCCCATCGTTTATAAGTCATGTCGTATCTGGCAAATACCCGGCCTCTCTGTGCTCCAACTGTGTGATGAGAATCATAACAGACTCCCTGTCAAAGTGTGTGATGTGGATTAAATGAGTTGTACATGGAAATCATCTAGTACCGTTGAGCCATAGTAAACTCTCAACAAATTTTAGCTAAAAAAGGATACACTCTGGCCCCTAAAATTTGAATTCAGTCACTGATTGATAGTATTCGACACCCGGCATGGTTCCTTGTCCAGAGTAAAGACTTGCTAAATGTCTGTTGGGTGAAATTCAGTTCAGCTGAGCATTTTTACCAATAATAGCAATAAGCAATTTTGGGGAAAAAACAAAAAAAAGAAGGACAAAAGGAAGTTCAGGGATCCAGGAGGAGTAGGGAAGGAACTGAAGGCAGCAGGAGAAGCGTGCCCTGGGTCCCTGTGCGCCGGGAGGCTTAGGTGAAGGCTCAGACTCACTCCCAGTCTGCCCCGAAGGAAGCCCATGTTAATTCCTCGTTTTCCAGAGGAGAAAGCTGAAGGTCAGAGAGGAGAAGTGACTTCCCAGGGCCGCACAGCTGCCCTGAAACCAAGGCTCACCAGCCTGCTTTAGGATGAAAGAACCAAAGTGGAGTCAATCTGACCCCGAGTTTGCCCTTTAACACCCCCGATTTTAAGTTTCTTAAATCTCTGGTTTTCTCCCCCCAAAACTGGAGATATAATATCTAATTTACAAAGTTGTGAAGTTAGAAAATATACACACAGTGACTATTAGCTTTCTTGGAATGTAGCAGCTGGTGAACAAATACAGTGGTTACTCCTGGTGAGAAGCTCTGTGCAGGGCTCCCAGGGTCACTG